CAACGTTGAGGAATGCATGAAGATTATAGCAAAAGAGCGGGGCGGATTTTTAAAATATTAAGAAAAGTTAGAAGACATAGAGAGTTAGACCAAGAGGCTGCAATGTACATCTAAAAAGAGTTTCAGGAAAAGAGGACAAAAATGATGAATATGTGAACAGATAATTGTTGAGAATTCTTAAGACCTTAAGGAAGACATCAGTCTTCAAGTTGAAAGTTCTCATTAAGTACAGAGCAAGATAATAAACAAACAAACAAATAAATAGACTCATACTACATATATTAAAGCAAAGCCAAAGATTAATGCAGATGAGAGAATTATAAAAATCACCAAAAAAGAAAAGACAGATTATCTACACAAGAATGACAATTAGATTGAAAACAAACTTATCAGTGATAAGAGATAGCAGAAGAAAAAAAAAGTATCTTCAAAATACTGATGAAAAATAAGTCAATCTAGAATTCCATATCCAGCAAAATTATCATCCAAAAATGAGGGGTAAAATTTTTTTTCAGTCACTTTCTGACTAAGAGTTTAACATCCACCAATCATCATTAAGATAACAACCAGATGAGAAGGGGAAAAATGAGATGTAACAATAGTGGCACAGTGAGTGATTAAATATATTGGTAAATGTTATTCCTAATGATTATAAAATATAAGTAATTTTTAAAGAAAAATGATAGGACCAAAAGTCTGGAAAAACACTAAAAGAAAGATGAGAGTAGTTTAATTATTGGTTAGAATGTTCTAAAACTTTCACCTTATTTGGGAAGGTAAACAAACTAAATAAATTTATAGCATATAATAAAATTATATAAATTAAGAAAATATGTTAACATTTAAGATCAGCCAACAAATTAATAGAAATATTACCTATTGCTCCAAAATGAGGAATCAGGGAAAGAATATTGAAAAATTTGTCAAGGCAACAGAAAACCAGAAAGAGACAGAATGTAAATGTACATAAATTAAATTATCAATTATAAAACAGAGAATGTAAGAATGGACAAAAATTATACACATCATAGTTCCAAAAGTATAATTCATGCATGTGCAATATACATACACATCCCAGATAAAATATATCAAAATATTAATGTTATTTATTATTGGACTGTAAGATTACAGATAAAATATTTTCTTCTCTACATTTTTCAACATTGTCTGATGTCCCTATGCTGAACTGATATTTATTTTAAAATCACAAAAAGTTGTTTTTAAAAAAGGTATTAGGTGCATCTGAATTGAGTTTATAACATCCTTTTTGCTCTCCTCAAACAAAAAATAAATATCAAAAATTTACAATCGTAAATGTAATTGTTACAAACAAATATAAATCAATACAAACAAGTTTAAAGGCTGTTTTTTCCCTATGTATCTCTGGACACAGATATTACTTCAACTTGAAGATGCAGTTAATGAATTTTAAACATTTTCAAGTCAGGTATTGAAGGGAGGGGGAGGGGTGGTGGACACAGGGGAGAATTTGCATGAGAACATTCTTGCCCAGTTCTGGTAACTTAATTACTCAATGCTCTGTACCTGTTGAGTTGATTTAAGTCATGTGGCAAGTGCTACCGTTTCTACCCAAGAAAGGCACTGGAACAGACGCCATCATTTGGCATGACTGCATCAAGGAAAGCTGCTGACAGCCAGAAGAGATCAAAAGCAGATCAGGTTGCTTAACAAATGACATGTCAGTGAGCTCAGAAAGCCAGGGGACACCCCGAGGAGCTGCGGAAATCTCGGGAACAGGTATAGAAACCAAACACAGTGCATGTTCTTATAAAATGCTAACCTGGGATTCAGTTGTCTTATTAAAATGTCTGAGCCATAACACACTATTTCTCAGTCTTTCCTTAGAAATAAAAATCAAGTCTCGACGCAGAAGCAGAAGTGATAGAGGCAGAAGATGAGTGACTTAATGATTACAGCTTACCTGTCTGTATCAAACCAAGCACGCTATTTATTCTATTTTTTCCTTATCATGACTAGCCAATATTTATTGGATACTTATTTCATATATTACATGAAAAGTATTGGGATGAATTCTTTACATACATCATCTCATTTTCTAAACCTTCTAAAAACAACTTGCTTCTGGAAAAAAAATGGACAGGCCATTTGAATCTTCTTAAATGAACTGCCTAAATTGATTACTTAGAAGGAATCATTTTTAACAGGCTACATGTACCAAAGTAGACATTATTTTAAAGTAATTATATCCAAAATAACATAATCCAATAATCTCCTATTTGACTCCCATTTAGTCAGATCAATGTACATAGCTATTTATACCCATCTCATCCTAAAAAGAGATGAGGCAGTTTTACTCTATGTCTTGTTGATATGAAATGCTACATTCATGCTAAATCCTTCCCAGAAATTGAATTTACAAGATTTCCTTCTTTGTGTCACAAAACATCTTATTTTCTATAGAAAAGCTCAAATTTTGGAAAAGCAAAAAATAAGAGGTATGATTAAATTATGATTTTTGTCAGTTTTTAAAAGCTATCTCAGAGTTTGACAGCCTTGTACGCAGCTCTTCAAGCTGATCTCCTTTTACAAGAACACAATATATAATTACATTATTTCATGAACTATAGTTCATTTCCCCACCTTCACTGTGAGTTCCTTAGAGGCGAACACCATGCTTCTGCTACTAACATGGTACCAGGGTTGCATTTCTTAAAATGTGTCCCACCAACTAGAGAACCTACCAGATATTCTGCAAAAAAAGTGCTCTGTGGTCAAATAAATTGGGGAACTGCTGCCAACCCTTCTTTCAGAGAACACTGGGAATTCCTTTTAGATTTATCTTAACCTGGAAGTTCTTATATTCATTTGGTCATGAAACTCCCCATTTCTAGGGCATCAAATTGTAAAAACCTGTGGACAAACTTGAGAAAATACTGTGCTGGGCAAATGCTACAGCTGCTAGTTGAGGGAACAGGCCTTGCAGAGAAGTTCACTTTACCCCCAGGGGAGGCATAAACCCTTGGGGTGAAAATCATCACCTTCATCCTCTGAGACACTCAAACACTGCTAAGATGCTCCTACAGTATTCAGTCTTCTGTAGTTACCACATTGCTCCAGAAGACAGATGTGCAAGAGGAAACAGCACTCAGTGGCACTGGCTACTCATCCCTTTCAAACCCATTACCTTGTGTTAGTTCTCTCTTTTCAGCTCTAAGTCTTGTGAGAACTTGCCATTTTCACGGCCACATGCATATTTAATAACATTGTAAGAAGGCACGTAGATATGAAAAATAAATGAGGTAACATTCCAAAGTGATGCACCAACCTAAGCAAACATAAATCCCCTGGAAACAAGATAACCATTCCTCTCATGTCTTAAGTCATCTGCAAACCATGAAATCTGACTTTGCAAGATTGAATTGTTGATTCAGTGTGAAGTATTTTCCCGATACCCCAGAAATGCCCCTAGCACCACATCAGAGAGAGAGAAAGAGAATGTGTGTGTACAATTTCATAAGCAAACCAAGATCTGATAAAAACTATACATGAATGGTTTGGGTTTCTTACTGTTTTAAGAAACATACTTAACTTAAATACATAGTAACATAGTATTATACAAATGTAACATAGTTTGATTTATTATTTTTTTAAATAAGGCAGTCATTCTTGGGCTCAATCAATGAGCACCCATATCTGAGGCTCTAAGGAGAAACATCTAAGTGACAGGATTCACCCCTCTTTGACAGCAATGATTGTATCTTTGGGTACCTGTTGTACCTAGCAAATGCCTAACACATGCCTCATGCCTATGATAAATATTGTTGAGTGTTTAGGAACTACGAGCAAACTATACAACGTTGCTATGTTGACCTAAATCCATATAAAAGCATCTGTGACCAGAACATAACAACTCCATAAATCTGATTATAGATCAATATCTTTGGATAAATATTTCAAAATTGAAATAGAATCTCTTAGAAGTTATATCATCTTGGGGCTGGCCCCGTGGCGTAATGGTTAAAGTTCCACAGGCTCCACTTTGGCGGCCCGAGTTGGCAGGTTCACATCCCGGGCACAGACCTATACCGCTCGTCAGTCATGCTGTGGTGGCGACCCACATACAAAATAAAGGAAGACTGGCACAGATATTAGCTCAGAGCTAATCTTCCTCAAGCAAAAAAAAGAGGAAGATTGGCAACAGATGTTAGCTCAGGGCTGATCTTCCTCAGTAAAAAAAAAAAAGTTATATCATCTTTTTGGTTTCTAGATAGGGGTAACCAAGCCTCTTCTTCTCATCTAGTAATACAACATCAAATGAAAATCTCACATAAATTTATTCACTCCCTGTCTGTGCTTCATAAAATTAGAAAGAGGCTTAAATAGATAGCTGAGGTTCTCAATTCCATAACAATAAGAAACCTCATGAATGGGGGATAAAAGGGATTTTGCTCACAAAAATAAAAAAATTTTGTAAACTATTTGCTTTTGTGTAAATGTCAATTTTAATTTAGAAATTTGAAGAATTTCAGACTCTTTTCAAAACGATTGGATATAAAGCTCCTCGACTACTGATAAAACATTACACACACGTGGTTTTTGACCAACTATGTAAAAGAGATATTTTGTTCCCAGGAAAGTTTACAAGCCACAAAATCTTGGGCAAGTATACCACGGGAGGTTGGGGAGGGACTATTTATCTTTTAACAATGACATGATAAATGTGCAAATGTTGTTGGCTATAAAGTGAAAACAAGATGATCAAATTTGCTCCTGGCGAGAGATGGCTATTCAAATCACTAAGGTATTATTCAATACTTAAATTTATAATACATCTAACTTTTCAGACAACAAAAGAATCAGATTACTGGTAAAATTTTTCTTTTGCCAACCAAAAAATTTTTAGTTCTACAAGACTGTAAAAGACTTTACTTCCTTCAAAAACATTGAAAAGTCTGTCTTCTCTCATTAAAAAAAAAGCATAAATAATAAACACGAGTTTATTTAAGATTAGAAGTTACCTTTCAAGTCTTTCTTTAGTTTTCTGAGATCTTTTTGAAAATCTTCAAACTTCATCTGCGAGGCCTGGAAAAGGTCCTGGGGTTCTGGTAGTGGAAAGACACACTGTTCTTTGCCAGCGTCCTAATTAGCAAGAAACGCAATTTTTAAACAAATCAGTATCAATATAAATAAGAACAATACAACAGCAGCAATGGCAAAACAAGAACAAACACTGCCAAATCAGTCAACAACAAAGAATAACAAAATATGACTATACGTAAAAATCGTCATACCTCGTCAAAATTTCGAAGATAATAGGAAACGATATATGACAAAAGGCTTCTGCTATTGTCCTAGGCAGAAAGACCAAAGTAAGTAAAAATATATTTTAAAAATTATTAAATATAATAGTGTTAAGTAAATTCCAGAAAATCTGCATATGTAGATGACAACATTTAGAATGAAACGTGAAATACTATATTTCAGATACTTCAGTCACTGTACCTAAGGAGTTTCATGGCATAGGAGATCTTCTTTTTCCCCAGTGTTCAAATCGAAGCTCCAAGCGAGAGCACAGCTGTTTAATAAGGATGGCATCTATAACTGTCAACACTTTCCTGTCTATACCCTCCTCAATTAGAAAATCAGTTCATTAACTTTTGTTCTATTATTAAAAGGTATGGGGCCAGCCCGGTGGTGTCGTGGTTAAGTTCTCGCACTCCACTTCGGCAGCCCAGAGTTCGCAGGTTCGGATCCCGGGTGCGGACCTACGCACCGCTTGTCAAGCCATGCTGTGGCGGCATCCCACATATAAAGTAGAGGAAGATGGGCATGGACATTAGCCCAGGGCCAATCTTTCTCAGCAAAAAGAGGAGGATTGGCAACAGATGTTAGCTCAGGGCTAATCTTCCTCACAAAAAAAAACAAAAGGTATAACTTCTATCTTAACTGAAATGACTAAATATTGCTAGCATTTCTAAACAGCTGGACCAAAAGTTATTACTCTACCAGTAAGTCTGAGTGAGGCTTGTTAGTACATAGATTAGGGAAATAAAAAAGGTATTATTTCCAGTAAGCAATAGCTTTAAAAATGCAAATACAAATTATAAATTATTATGTCAGGAACTGAGATCAAGGAATTAATATCCATGCAGCTATAAATAATGAAATGTGTGAAGTTCTACAGAAAAACACGTAAAACTGTTTCATATCTAACAGTCTTCAAAGACTAGCTTTTCACCTCCTTTCTGGCACATTTAGAGGCATTAATTATTTTTTTTCGCATTACTCAAAATTAGTATTAGATAATCTGAATGTGAGAGACCAAACATATATATATATTTTTAAAAACCCTACGATACAAACTACATCCCCTAAGATGGTTCAATCTGACCATGATTTTTCCCTATTTATAAAAAGAGCAACATTCCTTTATAATCAAATTTGACATGATATAGTAATATATCTATTAGACACTTCCCTCATAGTAATATATAGTGATAAGAATAATATGTCAATCACATAGTGATATATAGCAATAATAATAAAAGTAATATATTTATTAGAAACAGGATTTGCTTATAAAATGATTTAAGCAACTTGACTTCCTTTCTATTTCCTAACTTGTCAATCAATGAAATGGTTAGCAATAGCTGAATCAATTAACCAAATACTCATTCAATGCCTACTGATAGGCAGGCTGAGCGAAAATTATGAGTGATCTGAGCACAGCTCTGTCCCTGCAGGTCTACAAATAGTACTAAGGAGTAGACATTGTTATATTTGTTTTATAGAGAAAGAAACAAATTAGGAAGATTTTTCACAGTTCTTGTGAGAATGCAAGTGAAATTATAATAAAAATCTTGCTTCTTGATTCATCATTTAATTTTTATCTAGATTACTCCTTAATTATTTAAATTAATGAAATTTAACTTACTGGGGGATTGAATAAGATATATCAACCAAACAAAAAAATAAATAATCCCTTTTTCACATATGATTATCAGAATCTATTTCAGATCCATAATAAGTTAAACATTATGTTGATGCTATTTATACCCCAATGGTAATTGCAAAAGCGACTTGTTTCAATCCAACAACCAGTTGTTAAGAACTATTCAAGAACTACCGTGTGTTTAGAAGAGAGCTTTTGTTTCTGAACAAAAGGGATTTGTCAGGTTGACATATTGGAGGTTCCTATGAAAACATGTATCATACAAATATAATAGCATTTGAACAAATATAACCATAAAAATCACAAAAATTATATTCTGTTGGTGTTCCAAGAAAGGACTATGTTTTACTCAATTTTGGAAAAGCACAGTATCTGGCATTTCAGAGAAGCCCAAGGAAAGAAGTTAAATGAATGGATGAGTGGACGAATGAAGGAATAAACAAACAAGTTACTGAAAAAAGTCTCTCTTTCTTGTGAGGGAGATTATTTATTACCTAGGAAGGACAGTTCTATATATTTTCATTTCTATGAGCCAATTGTTTACTTCAACTTAATATTTTAAAACCACATTGGGGCCGGCCCAGTGGCGCAAGTGGTTAAGTGCGCACGCTCCGCTGTGGCGGCCCCGGGTTCGCCGGTTCGGATCCCAGGCGCGCACTGACGCACTGCTTGTCAAGCCATGCTGTGGCAGCTTCCCATATAAAGTGGAGGAAGATGGGCATGGATGTTAGCCCACGGCCAGTCTTTCTCAACAAAAAGAGGAGGATTGGCAGATGTTAGCTCAGGGCCAATCTTCCTCACACACAAAAAAAAATAACATAAAACCACATCCATAATTCCTTCATCATACAATTCCACGTGCAGATTCTTCTGTCAGAGAACCAGAATTCCATTATTTTCGAAGTTTACAATCTCAGACTTTAACTCTGACCATCATGGCGGTTTTCCTAACCTTATATTTCTACTGACACTCTCATAATCTCTTAGATATTCATTTTAAACAAACACAACTATAGAGTAGGATCAAAAAATAATAAAAATAAGCCCCAAAAGGGCTTAGATACTCCCACACATACCAGTACCAAAAATAGTATGTAGCAAAACAGGATTGTCTTCTATATTTTATTTACAAACTACTTTCCCTTATCTTTGTTTTGTTTTTAAAACATGGGTGTGTTGGCCTCCATTGCTTACCACGGAAGAGAAGAAGAAAATAATGGATATACTGTCTAATTTGTAGAAATTAATTACTCCTGAGAGTTCAATAGGATAAATATTAGCAGACATGGAAAATGGAGAATGAAAAAATTATTTTTATTTTAAAATATTGTCTACTCAATTATTCATTAGACACAGGATTCAAAATTACTCACTTTAAGCAACATTATTGTTCACAAAATCACAAACCTATGATGGCCATTACTTTTATCTAGCTCAGAACATAAAGAAACTTTTGACTTTGGAATATAAAGAAGCATTTATTGCAACTGGTTTATGGTCAAACTTATTACTAAACAAAACGTCTTATCTTCAATTTGCCTACACTCACTCATACAAAATACTTACACTGCTTTTGACATCCTTCAGCTTCGGGAGAATGTCTAATCCGAAACCATCTGCCTGTCCCCGAGTCTTATTTCCGCCATTCATGTAGTTGCCAAAGGCAAGAACCAAGCCCAGAACCTGCATAACCCCTGGGCCATTTGTTAATGTCTGCAAAACAGGATCAAGAATTCTCTTAGACAGACAGTCCCTGGCTTACCATGGTTTGACTTACGAGTTTTTGACTTTACGATGGTGCGAAATCAATATGCATTCAGTATAAACTGTACTTGAATTTTGAATTTTGTTCCTTCCCAGGCTAGCAAGACGCGGTTAAGATGCTTTCCCAGTCAGCCCCGCGATCATGAGAGTGAACAACCCATACACTTACAACCATTCTGTACCCAGACAACCATTCTGTTTTTCACTTTCAGTACAGTATTCAATAAATTACATAAGATAGTCAACACTTTTTTAATAAAATAGGCTTTGTCTTAGATGATTTTGCCCAAGTGTGGACTAATGTGAGTGTTCTGAGCACGTTTAAGGTAGGCTAGGCTAAGCTATGATGGTTGGTATGTTAGGCGTAATTAAACACATTTTCAGCTTAATGATATTTTCAACTTGATGGGTTTATCAGGACATAATCCCATCGTTAAGTCGAGGGAGATCTGTACAAAGTTTTGTTTGAATTATCTTAAATCAGCGGCAGATAGTCACATTATACTAATAATTTTGACTCACATCCAAACTTTATTATTGCTCATTATTAGGTATATTTTAAGAGCAGTGTCTCCAAAGTTAACTTTAAAAAGTTGCACCACCATCAAGCCTTCAGGCATGGCTTCGTAAATTGAGAGATCCCCATCTAGGCCATTTGTATGCTGTAACTGCAAGGAAAACAAACAAGGCGGTAACAGGAGAACTACTACAAAATAATGTCACTGCCATCATCCTATTTGTACCTACCTCTGGAGCAACACAAATTTTTGGCATAAGTTATGGGAAACCAAAATGTAGTTATAAAGATTAATTTCCAAATTTTGATTTATTCCTGAAAAGTTCACACTCACATCTTCTAAAACATTAACTTGAATTCTCATGTCACTTCCTCTGAAAATGTGTCTTTAGTAACATCTTACTACTTTGCAAAATGATTTACCACAACCAGAACAAGTGGTACAACCGATTTTTAACAAATTGTTTTAAATGTTAATATTGGCAATTTTTGTCAAGCATTTATTCTTCGCTTTCAGAAGACTATCTTCTGTTGAGTCACATGGCTGTTCCTAAATCATTTGATTGCAGTTATTAACAATTTGTTGATGGGTCCTTCCAAAAATGAAGGAAAGTAAGTAATATGTCTTCAAATCACAGTGAATTGAAAGTCTGATGTATGAGAGGACCATGAAAAGTGAAGATTTTGTCGTGGCAAAAACAGAAGGGAGAGAAATCTCTGGAGGTGGACGCCCAATGCCCACACTCTAGCAATGCGGCCCTGCAGTCCTGCGTGCCAACCTCAACATTTGGTTTGATGTCGAAGCTCGATCATAGTATGTTGTCTTCTGCGGGACTGCTATCCTTCAAATTTTCTGAGTACTTAGAGCAAATAAAAGAAAACCTTTTTGAAATATGAACATAACTGAACACATTTCAACATCAGAACCCATGCTTCAGCTCTCTGTGGACCAGAACTCACCTCACACAATTTCTGTAGCAATTCCAGTTTGCGACGAATTGAGCAGATGCTTTCTGAAAACGTGGACTGGAACAGGATGCAAAAGACTCGCTCTGAAAAGTTGGGGATTAGTGACAGTTCATAAAGGAACCTAAGGAAATAAAGCCAAGTTAAGAGGAAAAATATAATTCACATAAACAGATATTTATCCTTGTATCATTCATAACCATCATGCACAGAAGACACGGCATTTTCGCAATGGAAAGAGCCCGCCCGTGGCCCGGACGCCCTCTGCAGGGCCCTAAGGGATGCTTACTGCTCAGGTTTGTCCAGGGACTTGGCATTTTCCTTGTCTTTGGAGGAACGGCTGTGCTTTTCGATTTTTTCCAGTTCATCTGACTGTGCTCTCTGGAAAAACAATGCCAAGTGGTTTTTCAAAATCTGGTGAATCAAATCCCTTAGATAACGATGATCGTCACACAGCAAAATTCTATATATTTTCATATTTCTTAGCATCTGCTTGTAGTAAAGCTTGACTTAATTCACAAGGCATTTTAAAGTGTAAATATGTTTAATGCAAACCAGACCGTCTCTAAATCTTCCAAATAATGCTATTGACTATTAGTGATCTGCAACACATTTATCCAAGCATGCTTTCAAACAATACAGTTTTCCTCTCTTGTTTTTTTGGCTGTTTATAATACTCTCCAGAATGCAAGAATTTCATTTTAAAGTGGTATTTCTTATTCAGGAATCAATCAAGTTAAATTTGGAAGCAATTTGATCCTAAAGTTTTTCTAAGATTTTTAAAGGAAAAAAAATACTTAACTATTGCAATCATTGTTTACAACTGTTTTTTTTTAGGGGAAAGAAAAATATAATTGAATTATTAAACCATGGAACAAAGATAAAAGGTGTTGATTCTTCTGCTAAATTGATACAAAAGAGACTCCAGGCTTCTTTTCTTCCTAAGTGTCTTCTTCCACCCTTTATAATCTCAAGCTAAAAATCTGTCATTCTAAATTTGTTTCTTTATAGGAGAGGATCTTCTGCATTTTTAACCTGAGGTAGAAGACTTTGCAGACCCAGAGAACCACAATTCTACTCTTCTTTATGGAGAATTCGGATGATTTTTATTTGTAGTCTTGTCTTCATTTCAAAATTCACAAAGATGCTTCCAAACAGCCAAAAATACTACATTTCCTAATGCATTAAGAAGTGTGAGCAGACCACCACGTCCTGAACTTGAGTCGAGTCCTCAGAACTGAAAGTCCCTTCCACGTTATTCTTTGTTTAAACACAAAAGCAGCTCAGGCAAAAACTGCTGTAGAAGAGAGAGCCTCATAGATTTCTTGAGACTCCAAAGATTTCCTGTAAACGAAGCCATGCTCTGTTTTGTATTCACCGGTTGTTTTGAAATGCAGGTTTTCAGTTGATGGGATTAACTAACAAAGACTAGTTCCTCAAAGGAAGCCTCTTTTAACACAGGAAGGATTTGATGACAGATCAGTGCATCTTCTGAGGGTCTGATAAATTTGCTTTTGGAATGCGATGCAGCAAAGAAGTAAAGGAGGGGTATTTAAGGCAAAAATCCCAAGCTACTGTCAAAATGTGGAACCTTCTTCTAGAATTTCAAATGCATAGTAATCTTACTTTTTTCCCCACTAGTTTATTGTGGCCTTGCCTAAGGGTTTTAGGGGAGTAAACACCAGCTCATTTACTTATCATAGTTACTGCCTATAAGAGTCAGCCCACAGATACTAGCATCAAACCACTTAGAGCCAAGCAACAAGAGGGCCTTTTTAACAACGACCATACCCATCTTTCTGGCATATGAGTGACCAGGGTAATATAATAAAAGAATATTAAAATTAAGAATACTAATAATATTTTTGATACTTATAGGCTCTATTCTGTTTCTCCTATTCTTTATTCATGAAATTGATTATTTTGGACTCAAGCATAATAATGTATTTACTTATGTTAATTTTTTCTGTATTCAATCAACTATTCTAAGATTTCTATAGCTTGAGATCATAATTTTGTCAATCCTATGGGGCAAAAAATACTTTGGGCTAGGTTAGAGTGAGAAAGCTTCATAAAAAAGAGGCAATAACGCCTATTTTTCGAAGAATATGTTTTGAAGAATATGCCCATTAATTTTTCTCTAAATTTGCTCTGCTTCTTGCATTCCCAGTCACTTTGGAAGGCACAAGCATCTATCCCAAAACTCACACTGTCACACCGGATCTTCTTCCTGGAACATGTTCTTCCCTTTGGCTTGGTGCTCCTGGTTTGGCTTAGGTATAACCTCCTCTGGAAAACCTGCCCTGCCCACCTTGATCCCTGCTATCATTAGTCTCTCTTCAGAGTGATAACACAGAACCTTATACTTGCTTTATTTTATGCTACACTTATCACAACATCTTAGTGGTGATATACATATGTCCACTTCTTCTATTGACTGGGGCTTCTTGAAGGAAGGGCCACGTCTTACACATCTCAATAGTCCTAGGGACCGGTATGATTCATGGTATATAGTCAGCAGTAACTAACTTTTTTTTAAATGTTGAGAAATTAAATCAGTAATTGAATAGGAAAAAAGAAGGCTTCCCAAGTCAGAGGGAAGAGAGAGGTAAGAATACAGGTGTGTGTAAAGGTACAGGAAGCAGATCTAAAACACAATAGGTTTTTAAAGCAACGTTAATCAAATCTGCAATATTCTGCTATTCGGTAATGCACCATGACCAACTGTTTCTTGCCCTTCACCTTGGCTTTCTTGCAAAACATGAGGGATCAAGCAAAAGTCAGTTATTTTCTACCTGCTAAGGCTCCAGACTCTTACTGCTATCAGCAACCATGCAACTTATGTCAAACTAGTGACTATAAACTCAGACCAGAACCCAGAAGCCCTCTGGATAATTTTGGCTTTGTTTGACCTCCAAAGTAAATTCAGTCTCAAGTGTTCTTCTCTGGTCCACCAGTTTGAGATAATCATCAGGGTCAGGCTTTTAAAAAGATGAATTTTAGGGATTCTTTCATCCATTCATTAAAGGCCTATTGTTTACCAGGCATTACACCAGACACTGGGGATAAAAAGATTTATGCTGGGCTTCAGATTCAAGCAAAATCCCACAACACGACATACCAAGCGGCTCATGACCCCACTCTTTGCTTAACTCTACAGTAATCTTCTTTCACTGCTTTTTATTTTATCAACTTTTTTTTTTTTTTGGTGAGGAAGATTAGCCCTAGCTAACATCTGTTGCCAATCTTCTTCTTTTTGCTGAGGAAGATTGGCCCTGGGCTAACATCTGTGCCCATCTTCCTCTATTTTATATGCGGGATGCCTGCCACAGCATGGCTTGACAAGCGGTGTGTAGGTCTGCGCCCGGAATTGAACCTGCGAACCCTGGCCGCAGAAGCAGAGCGCACAAACTTAACCACTACACCACCAGGCCGGCCGCCTTCCACTGCTTTTTAAAACTATATATAGGGCCGGCCCTGTGGCTTGGTGGTTAAGTGCGCGCGCTGCGATGCTGGTGGCCCGGGTTCGGATCCCGGGTGCGCATCGAGGCACCACTTCTCCGTTCATCCTGAGGCCGAGTCCCGCATACAGCAACTAGAAGGATGTGCAGCTACGACACACAACTATCCACTGGGGCTTTGGGGGTAAAATAAATAAAATCTTTAAAAAAAAAAAAAAAAAAAAAAAACTATATATAACTCTCTATGAACGAAGAGGATGCTAGTGATCTCACTGCCATACCGGTGGTGATGAGAGGCACTTGGTGAAATAGGTTCATTCTGCCTTACGATCAAAGACGTGGGCAAAGTAGCTACACACTTACACCTCAATTAATACCATGAAGGAATTTCCAAGTTTCAAACATTCAAACAACAAACCTTCCCTCTCCCATTCTCACTCGCTTCCATCCAGGGTCGAACATCCCTTCTAAGAGTAAACCATTTCAGTCCCTAGTACTATAAGGATTATCTTTTGGTTACTGCCTTTCTTTCACTGCACACCTCTTCCCACTCCCACCCCGATTATCTGTAGAAGATTTGTACCAGAATATCCATTTCTCAAGATTTACTGTGACTACCTATAAATGAAATAGACCCTAGTTGCTGCTAAGGTGGCTGCTTTACCAGTTACCAAAGATTCAGCACTCCTAAAACCCAGCCATAGTCTTCACCCACCACTGGCCAGGACAGGCCAAGATTCCTGGCTGTCACCATTGTTTTCACCAAATATTTTGACCTCCATTACTCCAGACCCAGACACCCTCTAAAACTGAACCCTGCTGTTACAAATCCTGGGAAAAATTGTTGCTTCTATTGAGAGGAAGAGATTGGGGGACAGAGGTGCAGAGGGAGAGAAGGGTATTGAGACTGCGTGATATGCATTTCTGCTGTCTGAGTCTACCAACGGTGCCAAGCAAATGCTTCTCAAATGGTGTTCCAGGGAATACTAACCTAGATCCCTGAGATTCATTAGGAATTGTTGTACCCTACACCCATTTGTAAGACTCACAACACTAAATACTCTTGGAGGTTATGTTGTTGAAAAGACTCTTTCATTTTAACAGCAATCCTCATACTTAATTGATGCTAAACGTGTGTCCGTGTGAGAGAGAACATGACGGTCACAGTCATAAGGAACAGTATTCTAAACGACACAAAGTAAAACAGTGTGCCTGGCCAAACTTTTACCAGGTCCTTTACTCAGTTTCTTTCCAATTCCAGAATCTTTCTACTCTAAATCTTTCAATCTTTGCCTCTCTCCTCAAACACCACCACCCCTGTCACTTTCACACTTCCTAGGTGATCCCGCCTCCTACTCTTCATCCCCTTGATTACACTACAGCTTCGTGTCCCGGATGTCCTCCCGTCCCTCTACCAGCTCTTCCGGATCTCCATCACCAAGTCCGCATCCACCACCTGACCACAGCGTGACAAATATCTTTAGCCTGTGTTTTCCCTCCACATCCACAGGGCACTACTTTCTCAACATTTTCCCCTGGATATCTCAGAAGCATCTCGGATAAAACACATCTAAAAATAAACTCAGGTTTTCTTCCCTCAGGCCTTCAGCGATCCTGATTCCAGTAAACTGGAAAACTAGTCACCCAGCCAGGAAGCTAGGAGTCATCCTAGACACCTCTCTGTACTTCACTGCCACATCTGATCAACCCCTGAGTCACAGATCCACTGACTTCTCTCCATTCCCACTGCCATCATCCCTGTGCAAACTACTGCCATCTCTCAACTCAACCACTCAGATATCCTGCTTGGTCTCCCCATGACCACCCCTGGCTCTCTCTAAAACATGTCCTACACAGCACCCAAGGTTTTTTTTTAAAGATGCAAATCAGAACATGCGTACCCTACTTAAAACTCTTTAA